TATGAGTGACTCTGAAAGTGCCAGAGCACCACCCAGTATAGTTCAATGGATCGCTGAGGTACAGAAACCATCGCACTACGGTAAGGTCCAGTCTCATTGCGATGGGCATTCAGTGTTAGTACCTAACATTAACTCGATGATGCTGGTAATTAGTGAAGCTTTGTTAATTAAGGCCTTCTAACCTGTGCTATGTGCACAGAAACTATTGTGGCAATCATTTAGGTTGCCATGGTCTTGCCTGTGACATTTTGATTGGTTTTGCTTATTTTTTCCATGTATTTAATCCTTTGTGTGTTTCTGATCGTATTGTGTTTGCGATTAAAGAGAACAGTCAAAAGTTTATATCGGAACCACTGTCTTCTCTCTGTCTTGACGAAATGGCTGAAGGGGACGCACAGTTTTACTTTTTGAAAAGCGTCAACTAACACTCTCTGGAAACCAATACCGTCGCTTCGCGTCTACGTGATAATTGGCTTTTGAATACGAGCAACTACGCACGCCAGTACCGATGGCAAGTAATGTGTAATCCCAATACTTTAGTCACTGAGGTATCAATCAGAAGTTTGTTAATATAATGGCCTAATATTGTACCAAAATACATAAAAATGCTTTGGATACTATCTGCTCCATACTATACACCACGCTTTGGGTTTCATGTAATTACATGCTTTTTTGGTAAAAACAGCCGACCAGGGTTTGAAAAACCCCTTCTACTCAAAAATACAATCAGTACGCAGTGGTTGTCTGGTCCGGTTTAGGTACTAGACAAAGTTTGAAAGTTATTAAATTCCTCGACTTGAACATGCCGTTTAATCTTTCGAATATATTTCCAATGTCAATTCGATTTTCGCTGTGATGCACATAACTGAATTGCTTTGAATATCATTAATAACACTATTCCCTCGGTATCCAACCATTCACAGTGACATTTTGAACGTTCAATGGAATGCGGACTCATCAACCATAGGCAAAATCAAATATTGCGTGGCTATCAATGCGCAAGTGAATCTGTACTATCGATGCACTGCTTTGGCCAGATTAGGCCAAGTACCTTTGCCGTCTAATGGTCAAGATGAGCGACCGAAAGTGTTCAAATATACGGACCATCTAAGGCCTCCGTCTATCCAATCAGCAGTGTACCAATGCACGTGGAAATCACCAATAAAGGTACGTTGAAACCAGACTTCTCAAAGCGAGCCATACATTGATGCTTCTCGTTGAGCAGAGATGTGTATCGCGTACCCTCGTACTTTTGAAATTCACAGGCTGTTATGCAACTGCTCCATGATTAACCGGTGTCTTCCAACTTTGTACATTCAAATTTACAATTTGTATTTTTTATGTGGAGAACAAACCAAATAGGATTGTTTATCGGCATCAGCAACCTGCATCGGCTCCAGAACATTATGGGACCAATCTAATGAATCGGGGGGATAGCTCTGGTAGCTAGGCTGCGGCCTCAGTGTGTTCAACCGCGAAAAACCCCATCCCACATGGTAGTCAGATACGTTCTTCGCTTAGTTTGCCAATTCACATTTAGTCAACGCAACAACTGTCATTGTAGCGAGCACAATAATCTGCTTGAAATTCGAAAAATTAGAGGCTTGCATAAATGAGGCAAACCATTGTATCAGTATGGTCCAAAATGTGAAAGACTAATTGGGTTTCACGTAACAGTTCCACTCCAACCTTCATCAACCTTATAGACATATCATTAGTGTGTGCTTCAAAGTCTTGCTCTTCTAGATGTTGTACATGAAAAGGGCAAAGTGCACATTAGGCGACTAACGCCATTTGACAACAAATAATCCCGGATGTTCAAGGTATATCGCTATCTTACACTGTCACCGTCAGGAATCAGCGATATTTCTTGCACTACTACGAATATACTGGAGTGATGTCGTCACTGTAAGAGCACAGACACACTGGTGCAGATAATAGGCTCACAAATTAGTTGAAGGTGTTACTGAAAGCACGGTTCAATCATTTTTCTGTTTTTTCTTTTTCCGACGCTTTCTCGACGACCTGCTAGTACTGAATATAGATGGACGAAAACCTAGCTATACTGGCTAACTATTGCCCGAAAATCATTCTTCAATGCCTTATAAAATCGGAGAAGCCATCGCAGAAGCACTCTTGCGGTAGTTTAAAAATGCACTATGACCCTGTCGGAGCAGCATAGCTTCCAACAAAACTGAAACTGCAACTCTATACTTCTGTTAACCAATGCAAGCTGGACAGTATCTATTGGGTTAGGAGTTGACGTGGACTACATTGTATTTCTCGGAGCAATCCGATCGCTTGTATTAACGTATCCTTATTTAGAATTTTCAGAACTAAAAGACCGGTTGGGATATCCTTATGTAGACAAGTGTGTTTCGGCTTCCAATCCGCGTGAATGTGAGAATCTCAGATACTTTTCTGAGAGGGTTTTGACGGCATGATCCCACCATCTTTTCGAAAAGGATGAAAGACTGAGGCCATAGATAAATAAATAAATAATATAAAATGCATATTCTCGATATTACACGAAGCACACCAAAGAAGTCAGGAGCATTTTTGTACTAGCAGATATGCGACGATTTCAGTTAGATCACATATCTGTCTTAACGAATAACTGAGTTGATTTATGAGATCCAAGAAAATGAGATGTGGTTTCCATTCTGAAATAACAACCTGTTTTGCGAGTGCGAAGGTGTTGATTGACACAGCTAATGACATAGATATTTAGCGCAAGAAAAAGGTTGAATCAGTGACTCAACTTGTGTTTCGATCAGTTGGATTGATTTGACCTCAAACCGATTGTTTGCGTGACTATCCGCAGCCACCTTTCGTCCATTTTTCGCCTGCTTGTCATATACTATGTCGTCAGATATCTTTGGACCGCGTTGAATTCCTATCCGTATCCAGCTGAGTTAGCCATGAGCCTCATCAAAGTGGGAATCGCAATCGCCATCCAACTCAAGCACTGTTGGCAAAGGCATGGTCTGACCGATCTTGGAAATCCACAACTGAGAACTTTTAAAAATGCGTGTTGCTCTAGTACAGTCATAAAGTACGGCTGAAAGCGTATCCATATCCTCGAGGATCCAAACCATGCATTCCGACACGTAGTGGAACTCAGGCACAACATCTCATTGGGAATCCACATGGTATTACCTGTTGGAATACCGCCGAAACGTTTTCCCCTATCGTGTGTCCCTGTCAAGGAAACTAACTACGTTAACCGAATTCAAAACTCAGTGAACAATTTGTAAAATAAAGTAGGTCTTAATGATGGGAAGCTGTTAGTTGGTACTTAGGTGTGGTCTCCAAGTATTACAACTTTTTTATGGCCTCTTACTTAAGCAAGAATCTCACCACCTTTTACTTATTCAGCCCCTTCCATTTAATCTCCCATGTGTCTCTTTTCACAGATCAGGTTGCCAGTGTCACTTTCTCGCCTAATTCCACAACTTGGTCAAAAGAATTCCAAAAGACTATACGTCAATGTGTATGCAATCAACACACGAGTGGACTTGAGTTCGGCATACGAGGTCCACATTTTGGATAAACCAGTGCCGCTTTGCACCGAATCAAAGGGCGTTGTGGAATATGATGTGACCGAATACAAACATACCTTGTACCCTGTGCTCTGGAATGTGGAGCTCATTTTCAACTGGAGAAGCAACGAGTCGTCTCTACTGCTTTTCTATCACCCGTGCATGTTATCCATGACTGGAAAGAGCAATTCTTATTCCGTCCACGTTTACAAACGGAGCAAGTGAGTTAGAATAGCCTTGAGGATCCTTATTCTGACATTATCCGTATAGTGATAAGAGAGGCTATTCATAATCCCTAATAAGATAGGCAGCCACCCATATTCAGAGGCACTGTTCGGCTGTTTCATCCCTTCGGGACTTGCTCATGATTCACTGCTTAACACCATTGGGCAACGAGGAAGAGCACTGGCCACCGGGACAAAGAATTCGCTGTGGTATATGGCGGCAATCTTATACTACTGTTCCAGTTGCTAATAAACAGGATAAACGGATATCCAATTTACGCACTAGCGAGCACGATGTGCTTTAACACACAAATTACAGTGATATCAAGTGGTTTTGCGATTGGGGATTATTACTAATTCTGGTAATCGGGATTGACAGCAATTTTAAAGATTGATCGTAATTGCGCAGTCAAACATCCACCATACATGGTGTAGACCAACGAACGATCGTTTCGGCATTCGAAAATACTTTAGAATCGTGTATTACAATCGCATAGATAAAGACTATATGGTTAGTAATGCCCCGGAAATAATAAATCCCTAAACAAGTTTGTGCATAAGATGGGTGACGTCTAGTCCAAAAGCTGACATATGCCTGGAAGATCCAATGAGAATCGTTGTTTCTGCAGCACTGCTAGAGTTCAGGAATATGACTTAAAAGTACTGCTGCACAGTGATTTGTTCATCTCCACGACGCACTCAAGTACTATTGGTAGCGCACTCTAGGTACTGTCAAAACCTTCCATACTTAGTATCCGTAAGTAGTAGGGGATTTATTTGGTTTTTGTGTAGGTCCGTTGCAGTTAAACAGTTAGACAGCCACCACATATCCAGGAAAGTGCTAGACAACCGTTTCGGCCTACGGGGACTCGTCAGTAGCGCGCACCTGTCGCATCCTGCCGGATTTGAACCCACGACATTACGCTTGCGAGTCAGCGGCTTACTTCACCGAGCCATGGGCGACGGCAGAAGATCGTCATGACTGCTATCTAACTGCGATATAGCGCGGCTCATCCTCCACTGTCTTGCATGTTATGAATGTGCAGAGCACAGAGCTGACACCAGAGCAACGGCTCCATTTTCAAGCCCGAACCAATCGAGGTGGCATGGAAGCTGCTAAGGCGACTACTGATTATTTGTCTGAAGGCGGGACAATAAGAATCCATGCATCCTAATTGTCGTGGGTAAAGAACTAGACGATGACCAACATAGATTGAAAGTTAAACATGGTAGCACATCGCCTACGGATTATTACATCTGCTCAATTCGCGTACTTTAACTGTGTGGTTGATTGTCTCTACCAGCTGAGAGGGCAATTCATTGTTAACCTGAAAGCTAATTAGCGTTGTTTTCCGTTTACCCTGTTGATAGTAGAAAAACGCGGGGTAGTTAATTTTCACACATTTATGTCTGCGTGTGGCCGGTATATATGTTAGTTCCCACTGGACGTCTACGGTAGATTTATGGGCACCAAGATACACCGCACCACCTATTGGGTCAAACTGACGGGTCAAATGCCGGAGGTGAAGAATATCAAAAGAAACCCTGTTTCGTAATGAGTAACCGCAGGCCATTATGTGCCAACCATGCATGTCACCAGGGATGCTTTATTTTATCGCTTTCTCTACTGGTTAAACGCCTCTTTTAATACTTTACGGCAGTGATCTTAACGAAACTTGTTAGCTGCGCAAAGGAAGAAGCGAATTCACTTTTCGCTGGATGGCACGGATGGACAGACCCTAACCTCCAGCATTGAGCGTGCGTCCGCCTTGGCGGCGCACTCCGCTTCTGTATTTGCGAATAACCAGGTTTCTGTCCCGAGTTCGACCTGCACCGCTTTTACAGAACTCGATAGTCTGCATTTCGGCGTTGCAGAGGTAGGTCAACTACTCGCCAACCATGACGGCACCAAACCTGCCGGACCTGATGGGCTTCACCAACTGGTTCTCAAGTCACTTTCAACCGCCCTCTCTCCTGTCGTGACTGGTCTTTTCAACAGGTCGCTGTTCGAAGGTTCGTTGCCGGTTGACTGGGCATGTTCGGTGGTGAAGACTATTCCGAAAGGCAGCTACCCTAGCAAAGTAGACAACTAAAGGCCAATTTGTCTGATACCTATTTTGGCAAAGGTTGCTGAGAAAATCGTGAAGAATGGATTGCTGCAGTTGCTACAGTCAAACGAGGCCCTGATGCCCGCACAGCACGGTTTTATGCAAGGTCGCTCATGCATTACGAATCTGCTTGTGACGAAACATGCGTGGTTGAAGGCAATAAGCAAGGGGAAGTCCGTCGACGTGATATTCATCGATTTCAGTAAAGCGTTCGAAAAGGTCAGCCATGAGGTTCTCCTTCACAAACTCAGAATGTGTGGTGTCGGTGGCTCTCTGCACCGGTGGATCCGCGACTTTCTTGTTGGACGAAAGTGGAGAGTACAGGTCGACGACCATCTAACTGACTGGTACCCCTCTACAAGTGGCGTGCCTCAAGACCCTGTGCTTCGGCCCACTCGGTTCTTAATTTACATCAACGATCTACCGCAACTCCTCCTGTCGCCGTGTACCTTGTTTGCGGACGACATGAAGATTTGGATAGAAACCTACGCTCCCGATGACTGTGGCCTATTTCAGCAAGACCTCAACCGCCTATCCACATTGTCAGCAGAAGTTCTTCTCCTGATCAACCCAGCCAAGTCTGTACTTATGAGTCTGGGGAAGGGTGCCGACGTCCGAACCTACACCCTTGACGGCCAACCGCTATATGCCACACCCTCCGTGAAAGACCTAGGTGTACTCTCACGCTACGATTTGAAGTCCGTGGACAACACGAAAAAGCTATGTCGTAACGGACTGCGCATGCTTTGGGCGCTGAAACGTAGCTTCGGCACATGGTCTGAAGAGGTTGCCCCTCGTCCCTTCACTTCTATCATTAGACCAATGCTAGAGTACAGTTCGCCAGTCTACTTTCCGATTACCCGAAGCGAGGCAGAAAAGATCGAGTGGGTCCAACACGTTGCTACCAGGCTCATCCCGGGTTTACGTGGCTTGGGTTATGAAGACAGGTGCGAGAAACTAGGACTCTACACCTTGTCCTACCGTCGGATACCAGTCGACCTCATTATGACCTACCGTATTCTACATCTCGGTGACTTTCCAATGCTAAGGCCAATGTTGCACTTACGAGGGTCATGCAGCACACGCGGACACAGACACAAACTTGTCCTACCGGATGTGAAATGTGTTCCAAACCCACTGTGCTTCGAACGGAGAGTGGTAAACATTTGGAACAGTTTGCTTGAACATGTGATTGAGGCAACATCTGTGCAGCTGTTCAAAACGTTATTAGATTTATATTTTACTACTATTCGATTCAGAGAACGATTGCACACTTACGATGACACATCACATTTGTGAGTCCTGAAATATAGTAAGTCAGGTATTTTAAATGTTATGTGAGAACTATAACCACATTCACTTTGGACAACTTTTATAACGTTTTTCACCATATTTTGAAAGAGTGGTACGGAATTCATTTCTACTTGCTCTATAATACGGTTTTCAGTTTTCAGTACATACAGCACTGTCACACAGTTGGTAGTCCATCCTCCACATAACGTTACGCGTCGGCTAAAAATCAAACAGACTATGACTTTATTTTCCCCCACACGGTCGGTTGCGCCTGTGTCTTCAAAACACACACACACAAGGCATCCACGTGAAAATGCATCTGCGCTTACCGGACTCGGGCCCCAATTCCGTGGTTTACAAATTTCGTTTTTCTGGTACTTCCGGCTCTAAGAATACAAAAAGTTTTCCATTCTCGGATGGTTCTCATCAAACGTGTGGCTACAGTTACTCTGTGTTGGGTTCATTTGTTGCAATGCTTATCCAGAAGATCAGTTGCATTGCAGTTTTTCCAATATTTAGGGTGACATCATCAACGCAAGTGAATCAATAATTTCCTAGCAGGAGCCGATTAAAGCCAAAATCCGATATATAACTTGGAATTGCGGACACACTTTCCAGTCTCTGTTTCGTTTAAACTTATCCAGACTATGTCCAGCCAACCGTCGTTAAAATGATCAAAGTTCTTAACAGGTAAAAGTGAAGGTTCAACTAGACCGTTGCTACACTACAGAAGGCGACTGATGAAGGTCTCGAAATGATGGCATGTTGCACCTACGAAACTCGGAGCTTTCCAACAACAGAATGACCACAAACGGGCTCCTGGCCATAATAATGACATTCCATGCTTGGAAAAACAAACTGGTTCAAAATTACGCGCAGGAAAAACGTTACACTCACCTCAGAAATATGCATGCCATTAGAGGATGGATCGCGCTAAATCTCATATATCTTATAAGTTCTGACCGTCTGCCGTCCACCCCATGGTTCAGTTGCATAGTTAAGCAATCTGTCAGCGAACATGGGTTCGATTTCCGTTGATGCAGGAGGATGCGAAAAGCGGACTTGTCCCAACAAAACGAAACTGAGCATCTGGAGCATTTTCTGATTGGTGGCAATACCCATTGGCTTGTGCGCCACTGGGATGGATCAGTAAATCACCATCAAGTAACTAAAATGGATACTGTGTACGATTGAGTTAAGTATTTTCGATACGTAACAGTTTTGCCCACTGAATCTGAAATGCTCATACAACGCGGCCGCATTATAGACCTTGGTTAAATGTAGTTTGCTTCTAAAACAGTGGTTGTTAACCTATGGACAAGGGATTAAATTGGGGTAAAGTGGAATTTTAGCAGAAGTAAGTATAAGCACGAGGATTAGGTCATCAGTATATTGACAAGCAATATTAACAGCAAAATCATCTGTATCAAAACATGCAACTAACTACCCAATCAGTGCAGTCGTTCACCGGTTTGGATTGCAGAGTTAATTGAACACTAATGTGGGAGCATAGGTCAGCCGACCAGGTAAAAGAGTGATCGATTGTCTATAAGGTAGAAGGGAACGGAACGGATCAGCTGTACGCCGTAACGGCGCTTCGCTGCCGTGCGACCACCACCAGTTGCATGCGGGCTGAGTACACCGCGATTAGTATTCAGGGCGTATAGATAGCGAGTGATGGTGGGAAGCTGTCATCTAGGATTGACTTGACTGGTATGTTCATTTTTGACCAGGCATCACATACCAAAGCAAGGAACCGAATGAACTTGCAGCACGACTTATGATGTGCATTGCCTGAAACCGCACCAAATATACTAGCAATTGCTAGGACTATGCAATATCAGCCATCTCATTAACCTATCTCCCTTCTTGATAATTTAAAACGATTAACCACAACTGAATGCATTCTTTAGTTGAAGGAACGAAACTAAATTATTTAATTAATTCATTAAGTGTGCAATAGGTGAATAGTTTTTACACTAACTTTGTGTGTTGTAATTCCTTATAATGAAACCACTTCATGGGTAACGGTCTCACAGAATTTGTTAAGCACTATGCTAGAAAGATCGCCGAAAAAGTTGTCAAAGCTAAGCATTCACAAACAGCGATCGTCACGAATACGACCAATGAATCTCAATGAGAACATGTACTAGCAAACCAACGGGAATCCTCTGAATTGACACTAAACTGCTGATGATGTTAACTTGGGCGATGTAACAATTGCTAACAAAGCGCTAGTCATGGAGGAAACTGAGATTTTTCATCCATATTCTGAACCAATTTTACCCACAACACTTGTTAAAATACCAAACAAATTTATGTATTATCAACTGAGCTAGGAGCAAAAGGGACCGATATTATAAGCAGTGGATACGAAAATGTTTCTTCAGCTCTACTGAACACAAAGCCAGTGGATGGGAATTTAACGTTCATCGGATGCATTGTCAAAATACCTTCAACTACTTTAAAAGGGACCGAAATTTCCGCCTCCAAAGTAGTATCATGCATATAGTCACCGTCTCGAAAGGACGAGGAACAAGGAAAGGTTGGTGTGGAGGCTAGTCAAACTTATGTATAAAATAGCTGTAAGGATGCAGCCATTATGGAATTAATTTGATTAAATATGGTAAGCATATGGATCGGGTTATTGTAATCAGATCTGTTTAGAATAAGGCCTCACAAACACGAGAAAGGTGCCCAGTTTTAAAGTTGCATAAGTTTCGGACTGCAGCGTCGTTTAAGTACTTCATCATAATGGTATATCGGCGAAGACTATAAATTGCAATACACTAACGTAATTACTTTAACTCCCAAAGGAAATTTATGTACTAATCAATTTCTAACCTATCTATTTAAACTACAGTACACGTCAGAACTTTAAGGATCAAGAGATCTGCCGGAAAACCGTTCAAGGCATCCAAGCTTTCCTACTGTGCAGTAATATCGGAGGACAAGCTCAGTACCGTATCCGCGTTGACAGTTCATCCAGTTTTCAACACGGCGAACAGATTGCCAGGATTTCTTTCCAACCGGCGAATGAAAACTACAACCCCATACGACCATTTGGCATAAGTAAGCAGTAATGTATGTGCAAATATATTAGTCCATTTGTTCTACGACAATTATTTATACTAGATTATAACTTATTGATTCAGTTAAATATACCCTTTCATCAACGGATGTGCATAGGTCACAATAGAACGATGAGATATCTGCGTTCACTTAGGTACCCGAAACAGCTGGCCGCAGCAGAGAACTAAACTTGACTGAGAGCGAATTAAGCAAGTTGCATGAAGTTAGCAGTTTATATATTGTTGTTCTTACTTGAGTTCTTAGTTTAAACGTAGATTCAAAGCGCTTGCAATAACCAAGTCATAGTTCCGTGTGCTTTTAACATTTAAACCCAGCGTGCTGCTTCATTTAGTTGGGTAGAGCTGCGGCTTGACCATTCGATGAAGCGGCCTAATAAGCTCGTACATCCTCTGCTGGATCGTTAGTAAGGACCATACTTTGTCAGTGACCGTCTAAGTTTCTAAGTACTTTTATACTACTGAGACTTGACGCAGTAATACCTACCATTGGCGCAGAACTGTGCACTGGTAGCAACTCGAAGGAATCATGAGTACGCATTATGAAGTTTTGAAATGGAATAAAACATCGGAATATTAACCCATCAATCTAACGGAGTTTTAACTTACCAGCATGGAGGAAGCTGAATTTACCGTTGATGCGCAGCGAATGAAGTTAGAAGTTTAATCCATCATTTCGGCATCTAGGAAGCTGTACTTCCACGAGTTGACAACCTTGTTATCCGAGTGTCAGTATCTGCATACCGTTACTTCTTAGTGTTTGCCACCTATGTAAAAGTTGCAAATTCACGACTTTATGTAATTAAGCGCTTCTTTGGCTATGCAATCATTGTCCATTTTGGTGATTGAACTACAATGGGTGTTACGCTTCAGTGGAAGGCCGGAGAGTACTTTTGTATATGGTTAGGTTGTCACCTTATCTATAGGTATCCGCTGTCATCGTCAAATTTGAGGAAATAATACTGCATATCTAGTCATACACAGCTATATTTGAAAATAGGTATGGGTGCGTGTGATATAGAATAGTGCAATGCAAGGGTAACGAGGTAAAAGCTGAAAGCCTAACACCGTCCCATACCTCAGAGATATAGACATTACCAAGAGGCCACTTTAATATGATTTCACTGTATAAAATCCTAGTTTTTCCAACCTGATACCGATACATGTGCCATGAGCAAAACGCCCATTCTATTTCAAGGGTTTGAGACCAAGCTGACTCAGATACTCACAAAACCGACCGGTGTACCTTACGCCAGCGTTGCACAGTTTCCAAGCAAGTCAAATCGGAACCGATTCCCGTCCAAAAATGTGCCCCCGAGGTGGCTTCAGAGACATCCATCGCGATGGCTTACCCGTCCCCGACGTCGGTCCCGTATATCATCTGCCCCTGTGCCAACGATTGCGAGCAGTGGAAAATCAAATGCTTGGAACGAAGGAATTAAAATTGGAGTGGACTGTCAAGGACACCAAATATACGTCAATCTCACGGTGTATCCTCGGTCGCAAGTGTACGCGTTCTACACGGTCCCCATTTCGACCAGGTTGATTGCTAATACGAGATCGCTCTTCGACAAACTGAACAGCATCGTAAGTGATGTTGACGCATACACGTAATCTGCTGGTAGGCAAGAGCAACTTTTAATTAACTGGCATTGATAGGTACCACAGTAGGGGTAGCGTACTTTTTGCTATATCTCTTCACGTATATCTGAGATTGCTTTAGATTGACATCAAAATGATTTTAATTACATGGAAATTTGGTAGTCTGTGATGACCTTACATTTACTCTCCCGTACTGAAACTATGAATGGTCGAAACGTCAGCTAGGATGAGGACCAGAGCACAACAGGTATGTTTACATAAACGTCCATTAGGAGGAATATGCTCATGTGCTCTGAATTCGGTTGCCTTGAACTGTGCAGATAAGACGATATGACTAAAAGTCGTAAATAATAATGAAGGGCAAAAGGACGTATAAGAAAACGGGAAATTTTACTTAAAATCTTAGCCTGTTTCTATTGACGAAATGCGAAGATACATTGGCTTGGTTCCTGCATCATTTAAGGAATCGTGGTGAAGGCTCAAGATGGCGACACGACTTTACGTGGACACCATGTGACTTCATCACAACGCCAGGTATTTGCTTAGCTGCTCGCAAGTAGTTTACATGCCAGATAGGTCAGCTACCTATCCGGAAAATCACCACTAGGCTGTATCCTTCTCTTGGGACTCGTCAGTGCTACGCTTCTCGTATGCGCCTTAGAGGGCCGAATGCACGACGAAAAATGACCTGCACCACTGACCCCAGTTTACGCTACTGAGCCATGGGCGTCGTTGGCTGACGACATAGGACTGAAAACGGGGGGTCAGATCGGTAGACAGTCTAGGTTCAATTGAATAGTCAGTAACCAGGCTGGAAAATTGGTCTAGCCAGAAAATGGGTTGCAGAATCAAACATGTGAATCCGCGTGTAAATTACCAAACACAATTTTTGTAGCTGTGTGATATTAACAAAGAAGTGCTGGTCAAAAAGCGTTAATCATTAGAAGTTATCTGTGCGCAACGGTCTTTTTCCTACTCTACACAGCGAGAAACGTTAGTCACACATCGACGTTTGCCTCTACCGTTAAGCCGACTAACCACCACCAAATTAAATTTACCTCTCTAGACGCCAGCGGTAAGGGCTTCTTTGAAGGAATACGGTTCAGATCCATATGTAGGATAGCAGACTGTCCATAACGAGTAACTTGACGATACTAATTAAAATTATCGGCATACCGAGGGAGTCCTGTCCCAGTGCACTTAATCTGAAAGATGCTGTTAAATAGCAGTAAATTGAAAATATACTTCACAGCTTATACGCAGACTGAATGGGACTCCAAAAGATTATATCCTCTACGAACACTGCTCGGATTACACTTCCGTGCTTTGTGACTTCATTAACTCAAAAGTTCGTAAACTTGATCGGTTCATTTTACCTTAGTCTGGAGAATTAAAGGCTGGTTACACGTACATTTCAGGCGTAAGACGTAAACAAACAAACAGTCTCTGATCACTCTAACTTGCTGCGTATTGCTTTCATCTGGTCAGAACACGGAATGAAAAATACCCAGGTCCGTCATTTGTATGACAAAGGAATCGTCTGGTGCCTCGCTAGAGCGTTTGGTAAAGTCAAACGCTTTACATTAATTAGTCGCTATCCGCTCTAGACCCATCGACCTTCTTTTTCATGGTGAGTCATGTGCTGTCGCTGCAACTATTTGGTAAAACCGAGAGGCGACAATCGATAACAGACCTTAAAGTCATGAAGAAATTGATCCAAATACACGATCAGACTGGCACCTACAGTCTTCGTGGATATGGGCTTTGGAAGAATCCGCAGTAGTATTTGGGGACCTCATGAAATATGGTGAATTCTCGGAGTCGGTGAAGACCCTGCGTTCGGTTTCTTTCAACTAATCGTTAATAGTCCATCTTCCGACTAATTATCTTTACTTTCTAAATCCCTATTGATCACGGTTTTCTACTACCTTTGTTAATACTACTACCATTATTATTTTTATTAATTTTTGCAATGCTCACTGTTGAAGTGGTGGTAACCGGATCCATAACAACTAGGCGCTGAATCACAGGTGGTTAACTGAAATTCCTTATTACTTCCACAGACCTTAGAACAACCGAGTGTACTTAAACATTGTACAGCAGGTTTCCGGGGACGGTTAACATGCGTTGTTCCCGTAGATAGATGTAACTCACTTGTCAAGCCTTGGAAGCATATGCAGCTCTATACAATTAAACTTAGCTCTCCGTATTTTTAGCTGCTTAAAAAAATCAGATTGCATGCCGCCGGTAGAGAAACCGCGTGGAATTAGGTGAAGCCAAAGTGTTGCTTTTCATGTTAACATACTATTATGAGCGTATATTACTACAGGCTCAGTACAAATAAAAAGCCTGGATACATCTCTACCGTGTGAGGCGCTGGCTAACTGGATGCTCTGCTCAATGTGTACAGCCGTATAGCATGAGGTACAATGCTGTTCTAGTTTTTCATTAAACATTACAAACGAATGTTGGAGTAACTGAAGTTACACGTATCAAAAATATTGTGACGTTCGCAATAACATTCAACCAATCATCATGTATGTAAGCTAGCGGCAATTCACAATAACAGATATAAAACATAAAACAGACACATGCTAGCCGAGCTACCAGTAACGGATGATCATCGTTCCAGAAACCTACCAACCGGTTATTGTCCCGCAAAAAAATTATATTAGGCTAAGTTAATGTTATGCTAGGAAATGAGATCGCGGTTGGAGGTGGGTCAAGCGGGATGGGGTGGGACAAAGAAACTCACAGCACTAAAGCCACTGAGGTCGGCTTCTAGCCATGTCAACAACTGTATCCAGCCAAACCGGTTCATCGCCTTTCGGACACCAACCAGGGAGCCGAGACGCTTCAACTGAGGCCAGCTTCGAAGTGAGGTCGTTCATTCCTCTTGACCAAGTCATCGCTTGGCCACCATCCTCTTCTTCCATCCTGACCCCCAGCGCCCAAACACACCCGTCGCGGGAGTCGGTGGGTTCGCATGCGTAACACGTGGCGGTGCTGAGCAGTTTATTTCCTCTTCCTGCGCCACAAAGAAGGCGTCGAACACGTTCATTGCTCATCAGGTGTTCCCACCAGATATGAGCTAAACTGCCATGGCAGCGGTATTCGAACGCTACTAGTCTCTTTTTGTTTGCCGACCTAACGGGCATGGTTCTACAACCCTACAGTAAGTTCGAACGTACAGCTGCAGTGTTAATTCTAACTAGTAGAGAAACAATAGAACAATGGTTTGCTGCGAGTAAAAATGCCAAACCTTAACTTGTCACGTAGGATGGTTATGGTGAAACTATAAAAAATGACAACAAATGGTTAGAAAAATGGGGCTTACACTGGTGCACTCACTGAGGTATACCTAAACCAAAGTAAATCCACAAGGAATTACGGCAAATGGGATATTGGTAGAAAATGTTTCTTCACCTGGTGTACACATTCCTTAGGTGAAATTGGAAGGAAATCTGGGATTTGACTGCCAGTGAAATCTCTTACACATGCTGGTGGGTACTACGTCATGGTTACGCAATCAACCCGGGCTTCAAACTCTGTTAGCTTGGGAGCACGCATGACAGTTTCCAGTGAGGCACGTCCTGCAAACCCGTAAGGAGAATAGATTCCGACGGAATTCCAAACGAATGTGCTACTCTGCCAGCTTGAGATGGTGGCCTCTCAAATTGCTGTTATGACTTTTCTCGCACAAGTAGCGGTACGTGTGTCTGGGATCTCGCAAAATCTGACAAGTCAACATGTGGTCCCTGCGCAATCGCCGATACTGTCCGCTGAAGACCCCGAGTACTTAACGCCTACGTTCATACAACCAATTATACAGATCCTTGCTCTTCTTGGTTGCTCGGCGTTGGGGTATCTCCAAGTCAGTGTGATTTCTCCTCAGCTATGGCTGCCAGACCTCCATTGCATATTCCACATGTAGTGGTATATACGAGCCCCAGAGGTTATGAAAAAGCTGAAGGATCGTATCATCTGAATGCTCGCTGCAGGACGCTCACATGTTGGGTGCCCATTTTTAACGCCATTTCAGCCTGATTCGAGCATCCAATGTCGACATGAACCAAAACTCCCAGATCCTTCTCGCAAGTTGTTTGAAGCTCCTGGTTGCGGAGTTTGTAGGAATACGCCACATCTCTCCACACTGAATCGAATTAGATGCTGGACTGACCACGCGTATACCGCATTCAGATCGGTGTGTTGATCGCCCTCCACGCTTTGATTTCATCGACATAAAACAAATAGTACTAGGCTGAAAGGCGTGTGATTTAATTAACATACGTCAAACTTAATCGTGGTCCAAGGACTGCTCCCTGTGGATGGGATCTAACAACGATTCACTCACTCGTATTTCCAAACTCCCCTGTAGAAGAAAGCTACTGATCCATCCTCGGAGAGCATCATCAGTACCAAAGGTCTGGAGTATGAGGAGCAGATATCTTGGTTTAACCGATTGGACGCCTTTTTGAAGTCGATACAAACCGCATCAACTCCGCTGCCAGCGTCAACGTCAGTCTAGTCTTCAGTCCAGCTGCACTGCGCCGGTAGTCGCAGATTTGTAGTGCACCATCGATTTCGTCGGAAGCTACGCTGCTTTAGCGCGAGGTGGTTAAATTCTTCCAAGTATGCCGTTAGCGCATCAGATATAATAGCTTTCATGAACTTTGAAAGAACCGGTAGTAAGCTTATGCGACCGTAGTTGACTGGATTGGAACGACTACCTCCCTTGTGAGTGGGGTTAAGCTTCCCGTGTTTCCGCATTTCGGGCACCCATATGTCGTCGAAACATTATTGAAAGAATCGAGCCAAAGGTTCAGATAAATTCCATCCTACGGCCGCTAGCGATTTCCTGTCTCTATTACCAACTCCAAGTCGGCCGGTGGCCGAGTGGTCTGCACGTTTGCTTTGCAACCATAAGGTCACCGGTTCGAATCCGCGTAGGGGTGGGCGTCCTCGCGTTATAATCAGCCCGAGCG